TAGATTATTTTTAAAACAGGTTGTTGTGAACATAAGAACATAAGAACAGCTGAACTGGGTCAGACCAAAGGTCCATCTAGCCCAGTAGCCTGTCTGCCGATAGTGGCCCCGGAGGGGGTGGACCGAAGACAATGATCAATTTGTTTTGTGCCATCCATCTCCAGCCTCTGACAAACAGAGGACAGGGACACCATTCCTACCCCTTGGCTAGTAGCCTTTTATGGACCTAACCCCCATGAATTTATCTAGCTTCTCTTTAAACTCTCTTATAGTTCTAGCCTTCACAGCCTCCTCTGGCAAGGAGTTCCACAGGTTGACTATGCGCTGTGTGAAGAAGAACTTTTGCTTATTAGTTGTGCAAGGGTGATTCTCAGGGATGCTCCAGGAAGGTCAAAAATAGACCTGCCCAGCAATGTTCCCACTAATCTTTTCCATCCAGATTTTTTCCAACCATGTGCAGAATAATTTTTTTTAATGTGCACTGAGGCAACCCGAGTAGAAACAAACACCTAGCACTGCTAATCAGCTAGGTGGCATCAGAAGTGATCCTGAGCGGCTGCACAAGCACCCAGCTAACAGCATCCTTTTCTTCCTCTCTCGGAGCCGTCTTTGAGAGGAGAAATGTCTTTTTCAGCAAACAGTTTTGCAAACGGCAGCGCTAGGAAGGGCAGGAAAGTGGGGCCACTGGGCAAGCTGACAGCTGTGTGGGAGCCTGCAGACTTCTGCAGGAGCACAATCTCTCCATCGGGAGGCGCTGCATCGGGGCTCTCTGCCTGCTGGAAATAGGAAGGTATGTCTAAAACTGGCATTTTAGGGGATTCTCTGGAAAGGTTGGATAGACTTAAACCTGCTTTGGAAAACTGGATGCCTGTCTGGGAAATCCACGGCTGCAATACTTTGCACAGGTTTGGGGTTTCCACTCATGAACCCTATTGTTCTGATGGCACAGAACTAAAAGGTGCTATGTCTCTTTCCAGGCTCTGATACTGATTCACTGTACGATCTCGGACAAGGGGCTTAACTGCTCTGTGCCTTGGTTTTCTCATCTGTAAAATGGAGCTTATCCTACGTGGCTACCTCTAGTCATAGTGAGACGAAACTCATTAAGGTGGGTGAAGTGTTTGGTGGTCCTTGAAGAGGTTACATGCATGCCACACAATCTTCTTATGCTGGGGGTGGGCGATGTTTTGTGTCCTAGATACAGGGGAGTTGACAGGATTGCTGGGCCCCTCAGCAATGTGGGGGCCCCCAGCTCCCAGAAGGGGTGGGGAGTTGGTAGAAGGGCTCCCCCTCTCCGCTGGCCCTCAGAGCCATCCAGAGTGCAAGACACGGGCCTGTGAGCCATGTGGCGCTCTCACAGCGATTCTAAAGGACCTGAGCTTCTAGCCACTGCTGCTACAAGTTCCAGGCCCTTTACAATCACCGGGCCCCGAGTCAATCACCTCCCCCAGATCAGCAAGCCTGCCTAGGTATACTCATTCGACAAAGCTCTTTCTCCCTTCCTCCCTGTTAATGCAACAAAACTCCTTCTAGAACAAAGAGTCTCCAGCAACATGGGCTATTTACATCCGCATATCCTCTCTCCTTCTGTCTTTCGTTAACTTCAACTCAAACCTTCGCCATCTGTTCCACGCTTGGTTAGGAATGTGAGAAAACCAAGCATGCTGCTTCACAGCTATCGCGCTGCAAAGGACGACGTGCATTCTAATGGCTTGTGTGTGCGTCCTTCCATGCAGGCTGGGCCTGCTTGCTAGTCCGTAAGGTCTGTCTTGTCGTCAGGTTTCTTTAGCTCTGAAGCCAGGATCTGAATGCTGGCTCCCGGCGTGTATCGAAGTCTCCAGCAGGGAGGTTGGGTTCGGTGCCTGCAAACTGCAGAAACTTGTCTAACTCTGGGAGAGTATCTGATGCACTGAGTTTGTGTGCCCAAGTGAGATCACTTGCTAGGCTAGGGCCAACCCCACTAGAAAGGCTGGATTTCTCCTTTAGTTCTTGTGAGGTCACCCTGGGTATTACAGGTAACAGACATGTGGCTTAGCCCAAGCTCCTGCCAACACTTACGGTCAGACAAAAAACCTACAAGCTCCCAGGCTGTGTCTAGACTATACCTCGCTGTCGATAGAGCGATGAAGATTATGCACATCGAAATTGCTAATGAAGCAGGGATTTAAATATCCCGCGCTTCATTAGCATAAACATGGCTGCCACTTTTTTTTTAAATGGAGATTTTTTGAAAAAAACCCAGCCATCTAGATGAGGAGCTGTCGAAAATAAACCCTTTTTTGACAGATCCTGTAAACTTCATTTCTTAAGGAATACAGGATCTGTCGAAAAAGGGTTTATTTTCGACAGATTCGACAGCTCCGTTTCAAAAAAAAGCAGCAGCCATGTTTATGCTAATGAAGCTCGGGATATTTAAATCCCTGCTTCATTAGCAATTTCGACGTGCTTGATTTGCATCCCTCTGTTGACAAGAGGGATGCAGTCTAGACGTACCCCAGTGACTTCCACAGGCTTTGTGGATATTTACTGCTAGTTAGCTCACACCGATTATGTCTACACTGCAGCACTATTTCAGGATACTAGAGGTGTCCCAAAATAGCTATTCCGTGTCCTCTGAGCACGCCCATTATTTCAAAATCTAACAGGCTCGCTATCCCAACGTCCTTGTAAGCCTCGTTCCATGAGGCGTAAAGGACGTTTCAGAATAGCGATTTATTTTGAATGGCTCAAATTGCGTCTCTTATTTCGAGCTGTGGGTGCAGTGTAGATGCACCCTCATAGGGATCCCAAAGCTTATCAATAATACTTATAGACTTATAGACTTATAGACTTTAAGGTCAGAAGGGACCATTATGATCATCTAGTCTGACCCCTTGCACAGTGCAGGCCACAGAATCTCACCCACCCCTCCTAAAATAATCCTCTCACCTATATCTCAGATATTGAAGCCTTCAAATACTTTGAAGATCCCAAGATGCAGAGAATCCTCCAGCTGTGATCTGTACCCCATGCTACAGAGGAAGGTGAAAAACCTCCAGGGCCTCTGCCAATCTACCCTGGAGGAAAATTCCTTCCCGACCCCAAATATGGCGATCAGCTAAACCCTGAGCATGTGGGCAAGACTCACCAGCCAGACACCCAGAAAGTTCTCTGTAGTAACTCCTATCATCCCTCCATTGACCTATACTTCTCGCTTCTCTAGCATTAATCTGCTTGTGCAAACAGAACCCAGTTATCTGAACATCTTTGGGAGGGAGGTAAAGATTATTATCGCTCCCCAGCAGTGAAAGGAACTTAAATATCTTACCGGTGCTGTCCTATCACAACCCAGGTCCCAGCCAGCTCTCTGTTGGCCTTTGCTGCAGCTCAGCCAGTTCTTGACGGAGCTGCACCCCAGGGTGCACCCCACCACCTTACTTCCACCTCTGTCATTCCCATTTGACAGACAGACCCAAGGAACGCAAGTGACTCCTCCTGTCACCCTAAAAATTTGGGTCCCAGGCTGGGTTGGAATTCAGGAATTCCTGCCTCTCAGCCCAATGCTCACACTAATAACCAACAGCACCCTTCTTACAGTTTCGTACACTATGGGTCAAACCCTGTACCAGGCTCACACTGGGGAGAACAGCTGAATAACTGGGATGCGGAGGTCCATAAAGTAATAACCCTACTTGACACGGTGATAGCGCCTTCCATCCAAACATCTTACGAGTATGTTGCAGCCATGAATGAGGTGTGATAGCCCCTCTTTTGTGATGCGGGTTAAGCTTCTGCTTCCCCTGTGGAGCAAAAGGTGGGATGTGGCCCCTTTGTTAAGGATTCATTCCATCCAGTCCAGAAATGCAGCCACCTCTGGGGTGCAACACAATAGCTATTAACCGGGTCAGATCAACACGTCAATACAGGAAGGGATCTGTGCTTCCGCCAAGTGCGAGTACCAGCGGGACAATTAGGGAGGCAGAAGGTGGACTTACGTCTAGGGTCACCAGGGTTTAATAATATGTCTTCCCTCAGAAGTGCGCTGGGAATGCTGGTGCTCGCCTGCCTCATCTAAGACATGGCACTTCCCCGGCACTTCACTGAGGCACTGGGTACGGTACAGAGCTGGAAGGAAAAACGTCACCCATGCCGTGTCCTGCACCTATAACTTCTCCTAACACGCCACAGACGCCTTTAACTTGCAGGGAAAGTATTCCCAGTTGCGTCACCACTACAAAATGGGGCATGGCTCGCCGGATGCAAGTCCTGATGAAAAGAGCTGGGGGGTCAGAGTGGATCACAAATTAAATATGAGTCAGCAATGCGATGCAGTAGTGAAAAAGGCTGCTATCGTGCTAGGTATATTAATAGGTGGTATTGGTATCCCATGTCAGCAACGGTAACTCCCCTTCTATTCCTAAAGCTCCTGCTCAGCAGGGCCGACGGCCACTGTGGGACTCAGGCAAAGGTGTGGGGGGACCCCAGCTCCATGCCCCTGGAAGTGCCAGCAAAATAAGCTCTTGCAAGCTGCAAAACCCACCTTTCATTGTACAGATTGGACCTCCCTGGTCGGGCACCCTCAGGACCTGACTGGTTCCAGATGAGGCATTTTTCTGGACCAGGGAAGTCATGTCTGGCCCCGTTGCTGTGAGCCTGCCACTCCCGCACTGCTCCCCTCACAGGCTTCCCAAATCCCACTCCCCCTGCCCTGCAGCCCAGCTGGGTCATGTGTGCTCCCCGCCCCACACCCTCACCAGCATGCCGGGATTCCCTGATCCATTGGCGGACCAGAGAGTTCCGGTTTAGAGAGCTGCAGCCTGTACTCGATCCCTTGTGTGGAATGAAAGGGGGAGAAGTCAAGGTACTAAAGGGGGTTGGTTGGGGTGGGGGGGGGTCAGTTTTTCTCATGGTGTGAATTTTCTTCCACATCTTTGTAGCACGGCAGTGGCCCTGAATCAGCTCCAGTTCGCCTGGGCATCCGCTTTCTCAGTCACCTTCACGACCCACGTTTGTCTACTTACCGTACTGGATTTGCGCTCGTCCCCATTTTCCTCTTCCGACTCTAGTGCAACAGGTAAGGATTTCTGTGGCGGGGAGAAGGTTAAGTCCCACCTTAATAGCCGGGGTTCAGCTTTGTCCCCGAACCTCAGATTCTCCAGTTTCTGCACTGTGGGCTCAGCAGAGGAGGCTGGCCTGAAATTCTCTTTGTTCTGGGACTTAGACCTCAGTCTCTGAACCCCAAATCCCCGGTCTTCCCCACGGTGGTCCTCAGCCAGGCTCCTGCAGGGGCCTGCTTTACTATAATGTCTTTTTTGGGTGTGAATCTCTTGCATATAAGAATCCATCCTCAGGAGGGGTTTCATTTCCATCTCGTAATTGCTTAGCTTCTCCTCCTCCAGCTCGAGCAGCCGGGTGCTCCCTGAGCTGTGGTTGTGGGACCGGTGGTGTGAAGTCCAAGACACCGTGGCCGGGGGCTCTGTCCACCTCTCTCTTTGCTTGTGGTTGGAGGCTGCATGTTTGTGCCTTCCGCTCCGGCCTCTGTAATCTTCGGGGAGGGAGGCAGGCCCCAAGTGTCCGCTGCGCTGGGTTCCGCTTCTGACGCCACATGGCCCACCGGCTTTGTCTTCGCTCCAGCTGTTGGGCCTCAAGTAGTCCCCGCCGCGTCCCTCCAGCAACATCTGGATCTCCCCACCCCTCTCTTCGTCCACCGAGATCTGTCTGGAGAAATGGGCGCTCTTGGTCCTGCAGGTGGGGCCCAGTGGCGGGGTGGAGGAGGGGCTGGGGGGGAAGCTTTGCAGGGGGCTGTCATCGGGCGTGAGGTCCGAAGGGGTGGTGCCTTTCCTGTAGAACTCCGGGCTCTCTTGCTGGAGCGGGCTTTCCGTGGAGAGGACCTCGATGTCGTCACTTGAGTTCTGACGCTTCGGCCTCTGGCATTCGAGCCCTTTTAAATGAGAAGAGAAAGAGAGAGAGAAACCGGGTTACTGCTATTCTGGGAGCGCATCACGGGTCAGGACACAGAACCGGACTGCAAGTACCGGAGACCAGAGCCGTCCAGCGAAGCCCCAGGTCAGGACCATGACAACAACCTTCCCCCTGCTCCGAGAACAGAGGCTACTGGTTCCACACCATGCCGGACACTACACGCAGCCTCTGCGGTGCTGCACCGCATGACAAGCGGGAACCTGGCAGAGCAGGGAAGGTGCAAATGGGATAAAGTGGCACCCCGTGTGTTCTGCAAGGGCTTGCCTGGTGTGGAGTACGGGGGTGCTGGCTGGGACACCAGCTGATCGGCTAGGCATGCCGAAACACCTTCTGCCTGGCCTGCTCGCGGCAGACGGGCGTTCTGACAGCACCGATGTTCCCATCTTCCCTTTGAGGCCCTGGCGGCACCTGGCCCATTATGAATTAAGCCTCACAGCCCTGCATGGGGAAGGGGAGTTCTACCTGGCCAGAGAGACCACAAGTCTCTTTAAGGAGCCCATTGCAAAGCTGAGGCTGGATCCAAGATCTCCCTGTGCTCAAGCCCCATGGCTTGTGCATTTCATCCACAGCACGTGCATAAACTCTCCTTTCTCTTCCCGGCTGCTGCACATCCAGCAGCGGGACTGAAACCCCCAGGCAAGTGGGCTACCCGTCTGACAACACCTTGAGTCTTTGCCTGGGACAGGTCAGGCGAGAGAGGTGCTTGAATCGAAACCCCAGACCCAAGCAGTCAGGAGCTTTGGGAACGTTGGCAGATGGATCCGAACTCGACAGCCGTCCCCTGCCACCCTGCGCCGTGTGAGCAGCAGGGCAGGAGTCCGAGCTGAACTTGAATCTGACAACGGACTAAAGTTGCAGGCTCCTTAGGGCCAAATGTTGGGCTCCTGACTGAAGCAAGATTCGCATTGAGAGCAACTGGGTCCCAGGAATTGGCCCAAAAGGATCAGAGGATATTACATTCTTATAGGCCAAGTGGTATCATGATTAGCATCCTGGGCTTTCAAAGCAATGCAGGCTGCTTAGGAGACTGGAACCTCACGAGGGCAAAATGCCTCCACATTCCAGGAGAATCCCACAGAGTCTCTCTTCTTGGTGAGTCTAGTTTCAATTACACTGTTTAACGGGAGTCCTAATGCAGCCCTCTGGCACCCAGACAGGGCACCCTGCAGAGAACTTTTCTGCACAGCACAGGGCAGTGTCTGAGCCTGCAGGGGTTGCACGCATCCTCATTGGCCAATCAGCATTCAAATTCCCTCCACGCCAAATTGTCAAGCCCTGCTGTTTTGCTGATGGGAGGCTGTGGTGGCTTCGATGTCAGAGGTCAACTCTTTTTTGGCCAGTTATATTAAAAGTACTTTGTACTTACATCTAAGGGGCTCAAAGCGCTTCATAAATTAGTGAAACCTCATAACTCCGCCGAAGTGCCCGGGTTTTATTATCCCCGCAGAAAAGGGAAATTGAGGCACATAGATTAAGTGACTTGGCCAAGGTCATGCTGTGAGTCAGTGGCAGAACCAAGAATAGAACCCAGCCGGCCTGCCTCCCCGTCGCTTGCCCTACCAATGTAATTTTGCTGCCTCTGTTGTTTACACACACTTGCACTCTGATTGCTCTCAAAGAACCCAACACAATCGCGCTGGACTAGGGATGTAAGTGACTAGTCGACTAGTCCCTCAACTAGTTGCTTCCCTCCCCATGCTGCCTCTATCAGAGGCAGCAAGGGGGGAGCAGGAGCTGGTGCTGGGGGGCTCCGCGGGGAGCAGGGGAGGCAGGGGGTAGCAGGGACCGGACGTGAGCCAGGAATCTGCTGATTCCCAGCTCATGCCCAGTGCCAGACCCTGCGGCTCTGCTTTTTAAATGTATTAAGAGTCTGTCAGTTCTTAATACATTTTAAAGGCTAAAGCGCAGCCAGAGGGACCCAGTGCAAGCCAGGACAGCTGATTCCCAGCTCGCGTTGGGTCCTTCCTCCTGCGCTTTAGCCTTTTAAATGTATTAAGAACCAACAGGCTCTTAATACATTTAAAAGTCAGAGCCACAGCGAGCCAGGAGCTAACCCAGCTGCAGCTCCACTGCTTATCGACTAATCACTAGTCGATGGAAAATCCATCAACTAGTCAATTAGTTGATTAAACTAAATTTAACATCCCTCCGCTGGACTGCAAGAATGAAAATGTGACTTTGCCATGCTTGGGCTATGCTGGTGACTGAATGTTCTCATTAAGGATGGTGGGAAAACAAGATAAATTTCACAAGTCAGACTAATTACTAGGCTATGAAAGCAGCATTTTTATTAATCCCTTTAATACCACTGAGTCCAACGAGGCAGGGAAAGCCAAAGGTTCTTAAGTCTTGTTTTATACACCAAAGGCATATTTGTTCCCAGCTAACGCCATGCTAAGTTACATGAAAGATTTGATAAATATACGAACTGCCTTACACCCCTCAAATGCACCTAATTGAAATTGCTATGGCTAGACGAGAAATGAGTCTCAGAAAGGAAGAACTCATTTTTTCTTGCCAGGGTTTAAAAATAAACGCTATGAAATGCCTACTTTAATCTCCGCCTGATGCTGCTGGATAATTTGCTTTATCTCGTTCCTCAAGCACTCGAGAGAGACTCTGGCTCAAGAAGGCAAGTCGGGAAAGAAATTACAGTGAAGAAATAGCAGAGGTCTGTTTGCTGTCTCTGAAGCAGCATGGGACCACAAGGTATCCCCAGATCCAAGCAGGATCCCTGAAAGATGTCTCCTAGCAGAGGTCACTTCCACACCAGACTCTAGGCCGGGCTATGTCTACACTGGTGGCTCCTTGCACAAGAACTTGTGCAAGGAGTCCTACGCAAGAACACGTCCACACTGCCATGCGTGAGATGTGCTTTTGCGCAAGAGCGCCCATGGCAGTGTGGATGCGCGGCAGGGATTCTTGCGCAATAAAACTCTATAGCTAAAATAGCTTTCTTGCACAAGAGAGCGTCCACACTTGTGCTTCTTGCACAAAAGCTACGCTCTTTTCTTACAAGTGGAAGCTGTCTTGGCAAGAGCTCTTGCACAAGAGAACTTACACTTGTAAGAAAAGAGCGTAGCTCTTGCGCAAGCTGCCGTCTCTTACCACGCCGTACTGTACATCTTCTTGCGCAGGAGTGGGTGGGCAGTGTAGATGCACTGCAGATTATTGCGCAAGAACAGGCGTTCTTGCGCAAGAAGCCGCAAGTGTAGACATAGCCTAGTAGCCAGGTTCCTGGGAATAAGAACCTGAGCCTGTAAATCCGATGCAGTGACGTTCAAATTTCATTGTCATTTTGCCTTAATAAAAAGTTTAAAAAACAATGAGACATGCAAGTGGGAGTTCACCCTAACCAAAGGCAGGCACTCTGATTTTGTAGCTGAGACTTGGCCGAAGCATCAAGTGGTCCCACACACAACTCAAAGCAAACAGTCTGTGAGTCCATAGTTCCTATTTTAACACAGGTCTGGATTCACAGCACACCCAGATCTAAATCTTGATTTCTTTGCTTAGATTTTTTTAAACAGATATTGCAATTGCTCCTAGTCCTGATCTACACTAGGGAGTTATTTTGAAATATCCCCGTCTCAAGTTACAGTGGGAGAGGTCTAGGTTGGATATTAGGAAAAACTAGGAGGGTGGTGAAGCACTGGGCTGGGTTCCCTAGGGAGGGGGTGGAATCTCCATCTCTACAGGTTTTTAAGTCTCGGCTTGACAAAGCCCCGGCGGGGTTGGTCCTGCCTTGGGCAGGGGGCTGGACTGGATGACCTTCCAGCTCTATGATTCTACTTCAAAATAGCAAGCAGAGCGTTTGTAATCACCACGCAGATTTGAACCTGAGACCCCTGGAACTTAGCATCGGAGCCTCTACAGCTTGAACTATAAAGCCAGCTGCTTCTCAGTTTATGCTGTAGAGCTCCTTTGTTCTTCTCTCGCGCTGTACGTGGTCTAAGTGCCACTACTTAGGACAATGAACCACACTAGGGCAATGTCTACACTGACAGGTTCTTGCGAAAGAACATCTAGTGCAAGACAAGAACCCTTGTGCAAGAACACATCCACACTGCCATGTGCTTTTGTGCAAGAGCATCCATGGCAGTGTGGACGCTCTCTTGTGCAAGAAAGCTCTGATGGCCATTTTAGCCATAGGGCTTTCTTGCCCAAGAAGCCCCTGCTGGATGTCCACACTGCCCTCTTGCACAAGAGCTCACACTTGTTAGAAAAGAGCGTAGCTCTTGTGCAAGAAGCCCTCTCTTACCACACTTTACTGTAACTCTTCTTGCGCAAGAGCGGGTGGGCAGTGTGGACGCTCTGTGGAAGAACAGCCATTCTTGCGCAAGACCCCGCCAGTGTAAACATAGCCTAGGGGTGCGCCTACACCTTAGGGCTTAACTCGAAATAAGCAATGCAAATTGAGCTACGTCAATTGCGTAGCTTATTTTGAAATAGCTTATTTTGAAATAGGGAGCGTCTACACAGCACTCATTTCGAAATAGAGCCCTCTTCCTCTGACTTCTCTCGCTCCTCGTACATAGGGGCTGTGTCTACACTGGGCTACTTATTCCGGAAAATCAGCCGCTTTTCTGGAATAAGCTGCGAGCTGTCTACACTGGCCCTTGAATTTCCGGAAAAGCAACGATGCTCTACTGTACAAAATCAGCCGCTATTCCAGAAAAACTATTCTGCTCCCGCTCGGGCATAAGTCCTTATTCCGGAACACTGTTCCGGAAAAGGGCCAGTGTAGACAGCCCAGTAGTCTTTTCCGGAAAAAAGCCCCGATCATGAAAATGGCGATCGGGGCTCTTTTCCGGAAAAGCACGTCTACATTGGCCACAGACGCTTTTCCGGAAAAAGGGAAAATAGCTTATTGTGAAATAGGAAGTGTCTACACAGCACTTATTTTGAAATAGGGAAGTTTTAGGAAGAGTATTCTTACTCCTCATTCAATGAGGTTTA